GGCCTCTACCCGTTGACCTTTCAGGCATGATTGGATTTACGGCTGTGAAAAGCCATCCTATGTAGCTCGCAGGGTCATGGAGGCACGCAAGCCATCACACCGCGTCAAGGTGCAGTCTCGTTGTGATGGAAATCGGATCGTACTACCTGAGGATGAGGTCACACATCTAAGACGTTCAATATGATCCGAATGACCACAGTCAAAAATCAGGAAGGTTTCCGAATGTGGTTCTGACGTCTCCTTTTGGTTGGTTTGGAACCAGGGTTTTAAGCCAACTCATTTTTTAATGCACGGGAACACAAACGACTCCGTCCGGCACCAAATTATCTCCGACACGAATGGTTTCCTCTATGTTTCAGACGATCCCACCAAAATACGACTTCTTATGAACACGGTCATAAGTTTATTGATCGTACTTCCTTGGTGTGCTTCATCAGCTTTGACTACAAAAAATGACTGCAACTTAGTTAAGTGAATTTTACGCATTCTGTCCTCTTTATTCAAGAACACAGAATGAAGACTAATACTGAGTGAGCTACTAAGATTGCTCTAAAAGCCTTCCTGATCTGATCGCCTAGTATCTATCTTACCACCGAGTTCACTTGCACTTGCGGTGATGCCTACACACACGAAACGATCTATGTCCGGTCCAACTGATTGGTGACTTTGATGACACAACACATAACGAAACGCTGCAGTCGAAACCGAAATAACCGGATTCACCAATTGAGCAACAGCTGAGGTGAACAGCTCACCGAACTGACTTGGCCTGGTTGTTCAAAGTCGAGTTACCCAATCTCAATCGGAAATTGTTGACATTTTGCTAATCGATGCATTCAAACCCCTTCACCAACCTCCAGTCCACTAATCCATTTACGCCCACTTCAAACGTTTAGCCTTATTTGACGATTCAATTCAGAAAACAAACAGTGCGAGAGGAATTGCTTTTGTATACTCTCATCGGTCGCGTACGTATAACACTGAAAAAGATAGACAAATGCAATGAATTAAGAAATCTATCTTATTCAACGTTGTGTGTACGGGACCGATGAGAGTATGGGAAAGGAATTCCTCGCGCAGTGTTTGTCTTCTGACTTTCCTGTTCAAGTTCATCACGGGAACTAAATGTTTCAGTTTACCCTTACATAAAATGACTTAAACTGACCTGTTTTGCGTAAGCGATCAACAAAAAATCAATCAAACACGTGCATTTCGTAACATATCTCTGACCTACAACTTTATCAAGGTCAAATTCCGTCAATTACACTGAGGTCATTGTTGATTCAATCCCCATCGCATTTCCTTTGCTTATGCCGAATTACATGGAGAAATTAGGACCTGCACAAGACCTCATTTGAGTTAGACTCCTATTTTCATCAGATTCATTCAGATTTTGAAGAGATGTGTGCATTAAATTATCAGCCGTACATATCTGATCTCTATCGGAAAAAACAGTTAGTAGGCTATCAAAAACTCGTGCGAGGATATACACATATTGTTTACACACGGGCACTGACTTATTTTGTCACACTCTACCGCGCTTAGTCCAACTTTGCATATTTATCCGGCATTCGGATCAACTAGGAGCGACCTCACAGAGTGCGATGCTTGACTGATGCCATTTGCCTACTGTGGCAACAAACGAGATTATCCGTGTAAACATTCAAGCAAACGTGGCCACCGACTCTGTCTATCAGTCGGAAGTGTGTGATTCGTCAGCCGATATTCACAATCAAGGTTAGCGATATTCAAATGCACGGTGGTAGACAGCTTTGATGTCATCTGGCTCAGCGTCACACCTATCCTATTGGAGAAGCTTGTTCCTACAAGTCCCTGCGAATAGGTATGTGGAATCATGGGTGAATAGTTAATCTTCCTGGTCGTCAGCGTTCTCTTGATCGACTGTTCATCACTATACGGTTTAGTAAAAACGATCTACTAACAAAGAATATCAGCTCCAACCATTTTTGAAGCGATCCTAGCGACACGTACGATTTGAATCACCATATTGCCATTGTACATT